CCCAAGCTTGCTCACTGCTCCCAGAGCATAAACGAGCATTTAACAGGGATTGAGGGCAATTTATGCCCTCTTTAGCGCCCCTTGCATCAGGACGTAGAGAGAGGTCAGGTGGGGACTGTTATGCCTATAGGAGCATCCTTCCTGCAGACTCCCCGTCTCCCGCTTTCCTTTGGGAAGCAGGATCGGGTGCCAGCCCGTGGGCCTCCCATGGCAGGAGCTCGCTCTCCCACCTCGGAGGAGGCGGTGCGTCCGGGAGGAGCCCACGGGCCATGGCTGGAGCTGCCGAGCTCGCCCCGTCCTCGCCACCCTCACCCAGGAGCGCCGTCCTGCAGCCGCGGTGTCGTTACCTCCACTCGTCGCTGCAGCCGCTCGTGGCTGTGCTGAGCTCCAGCCTGGCCACCGGGAGAGGGGACCTGACGCTTCCCCACTCCAAACAACTTCCATCAAACTTCCCGGAAACTTGTCACATTCATGCAGTGCTGCACAGAGCTCGGGGCCACAGCAGGCCCCGGAGACACCGCGCAGCGGCACGAGGCGCTGCGTGCACGGTCAAGCACCCACCATGTTTGCAGCTGCAAAGCCTTACGTTTTGGTGCTGCAGGTTTGGCCGTTGCAGACCAAAGTGCGGGAAGCAGCGAGCAACCAGGAGGAATCACCTTGTGGCATCGTGGGCACGGGGAGATCTGGGTTCCCCTGTCCCACTGAGCAGCAAGCAGGTTCCAGGTGCTGGAGGCTTTGGAAATTCAGTTCCTTATTTTGCAAATCGATCAGAGCAAGTTACGTGCAAATCTCATCCAAACCCACCCAGAAAAGTATACAGTAGGCAGCAGATGGCAAATCGTAAGCTCTAGGAAATCAACCTGGTGAAAGAAGAAATAAGCACCTGGGTTTCCCTACCTTGCACTTAGCAATTCTCCTCTCTGGTTGGATTCGCCTCCCTCTGCAGGGACAAGCCCCTTGATCCAGGGCCACTGCTGCCCGGAGCTGCATTTTGGGGATTGTGGCACCCATCGTTCTGCACCAAGACGGGATTTGGGTCCGCAGGTCCCTGCTAGGGGGAAAGCGCCCGCTCGGCTGGTGGCTTTGCCATAAAGCCACGATACTCTGGGAGGTGCTCAAAGCCCGGGGAGGGATGAAGCTCCAGACTGAGCTTCCACAGACTCCTGGGGGTCGCAAGTGAGGCACCCATGGGGCCGCCAGGCTTGTAACTAGTTGTTCAGTGTTTTGGCCAGGTTGCTTTTTGTGGAAAGGCTTAGGAAAAGGCCCCTGGAATGCAAGGGGGTCCAGGTTTCCCCTGGGATTCAGGATCACTAGTCGTGCAAGCTGCGCCGCAGCAGGCCTAGAAGCAAAGCAAAGCTCCCATGTCGTTTTCCATGTCCATTTTATTCAGGATGATGTTTTCCTGGTTTCTTTTCCTCCCCACCCCTCCTCTCTCCCTCCCCCTCGCTTGCCTTTTGTGTATATAATTATCCCCCAGCACTCCAAGACAGGGCTGTATTATGTGCGGGGAAAATGATTATTAAATCTTTGACTGCAATCGCACACTGGAAGTACAAGCGCGCAGGAGGCCGGCACTGGAGGCGCTTCCGCCACGCCGGCCGCCTGCCTCCCGCTCCACTCCGGCGAGACCCGCGCGTGGGCAAGGGGCAGCACTTGGGAATGTTCCAGGGGGGCTAAGGGAAATAACGCAGCCCATCTTCATCCCGCTGAAATGCACGACGGGTCTGCGTAGAGCCTCTAAATCCCCCTGCACGTCCCTGCTGTGGCAGCCCAGCACCCCTCGGTACCACCCGGTACCGCAGCAGGATCCACCGGGTCCTCATGAGGGATAAGTGACTCCAAGAGGTTCCACCGCTCCCGCTTTCCACATTGTCCCAAGGTCTTCGGTGGAAGGAAGATCAGAAGATGCGCCCATTAATGCTAATAAATACCTTAATAATGTTGTAAGCAGTAGCCACAAACGTTCAGGGGAGGAAGGCAGCTGGTTATTCCAGTACCGCATCCTGGAGAGCCACGTGGGGCTGTTCAGCGGCGGGAGGTAGAGCAGGGCCCCAACCCTGGTGCCCTGCAACCCCCAGCCTGGCACCGTCATTTACACGCGTCAGCGCGGGGAGAGCGGCCCCATGACCCAGCTCTCCTTGGCTGGCTTGCGAGCGAGCTCCGATTAATCCTTTACTCACTATCCAATATGTCCAGGAGATGTTTGGGGAAGCGGGGGAAGGCTTGGCTGCTCAGTTGCGGGGGCTCCCGGCAGTGGCTCAAGTCACTATTTCCCCAGCGATGGAGTTGCTGGTTTTCAAGAAACTAGTGCCAAACACCTCGGGAATGGGGTTTTCCGACTGGGCAATGTGTGCCCACTCCAGCTCCCTCCATGCTCGGCCCACAGCGAGGAACAGCGTGGAGGGAGGCAGGTCGGGGCCGGCATGGGAAGCATCAACAGGTGCGCGGATGCCTGGACATCGGGCTTCTCCTGCAGCCGATGGCTCCGTAACGGGTCACCTGCCTCTTCCAGGGATATCCTTCCAGCGGGGGAGCTGGCCTGGAGGGCGGGCGGCTGTTTACCGTGCAGGGAAGCGCAGCTGCACCTGCCACCCTTGGATCACGGCCCGGCCTCCTGGCAGCCGCCGGCACTCCCGGCGCACAGCTCCGGGCCCTGCTGCCTTCCAAGCAAAGTCCTCACCGGAATGCAGGTGCCACTGGGAAATTCTTTGGGAAGAACTAGCCGGAGAAAGGCAAGCGAGTAGCTCAAGTGTCCAAGCTCAAGCCACCAAACCCGAGTGACAGCTAGAGACTCAAGTGGAAGGCTCTTGGTTTGCAGCTGAGCTGATTACTAAAACTTCCATTTAAAAAGATGTTCCAGATGTGGAACATCTGCCAACCCAGGTATCCAGCTGGGACAGAAGCCACCAACTGGGGACATCCCAGGCTTTTCTCATAAAGCCTCCCCATGCTGCTTGTGGTGTGGGGACCATACACGAGCCCCCCAGGGAAGGCAGGCGCTCCAAGACCTTCTCATGAAGGTCTTGAGGCAGAAGGGAAAACGTTTCTGTGAAAACTCAGTGGTGGAAATGTAGGTTATAGAGTGGCCAAGGGCGAAGGGCGCGGAGTGGAAGGATCTGGCATGTGGCATTGCCAGGTGCTGAGCTTGTGGCAGCAGTCACGGGGACGTGGAGAAGGCGATGGCCTCAGCCACGGGTCTTGGCATCACTTCCTCCTCCTCCAAGAGGTTCCTGCAATGGCCAGAACAGCACAAAATGGGGACAGCCGCCTCTGTGTGGACAAGGTGGCAGGCAGCAAGACTGTCCCCGGGGTCTTACCCGGAGAGCCCCAGCCCAGCATGGGGCAGAGGGACTGGCCTCCATCGCCCGTCTGTGGCGCCCGGCTCCCATCATCTCCATTAAATGACTCCGCTGATCTGTGGCGAGGGGAACAGCAGGGAGAGGAGCCCAAATCCTGCTTTACATTTAAATCCAGGCCTCAGCGGGTACCTAGTGTCACGCAGGTACTTAATACCCCCCCACACCCGTTTAAAATAGCAAGAGCGGGGAGAGTGCTCCTAAAAATAGCCCAGAGCGAGCCGTGGGTGACGTGACACTAATCCCCACGCGGGGATGGGGATGGCGCGCAGCAGCGCACGAAGCCCAGCTCCGGCCCCATTCCCTCGGTCCCAATGCCCTCCTTGAAGCAGCCTTGGAATAACTCCCCTGTCGCTGCTCGGAGAAGGGGGCCCTGTGGGGTTGAAGCTCCAGGGGCTAGAGGTCCGGGGTGTCTCCAACCCGCGGGCTGGAATCACAGCGGGAGACGCGGCCGTGGCAGAGCCTGCCTGAAAACGGAGGGAATCTTGGTTCAGCTGAGGGTTTCAGTGAAACCATTTTCTGCCTTATTAAAAAATAATAATAGCTGGGAGGTTCCCAGGGACGGCGCTTTTCTCCCTTTTCCCAGTTCTTTGTTTTTTCACTAAAAAAGAAGAGGTCACATGCTCTTCCTCCCTCCCTCCCTTTCCTCAAATTTTCCCCCTGCTCTCCCAAATGAAAAAGAATAGAGAGAAAGGAGGGTCGAGTGAGCAGTGGGAGCAGCGGGATTTGTCTCTCTGGTTCGGGAAGTGATTTGCAGATCGCTGGGGACAAGGCTGTGCCACATCTCCAAAGGGGCCGTCCGGGAGATGGACTCCCTGCGGCACAGGGCTATCCCGAACACAAGCGGCCTCCAGGAAAGCAGCTGAGACCCCACTGAGCTCCCACGGGCTCCTGGGGTCATGGGCAGGATGTGGGTGGCAGGCCCATTAGTCAGGGCCCCTACTGGGCACTAGTGACCTCAGGGCCCTGGTGGCCCCTGGCCTCTCCAAAAAGGGACCTTGCTCCTCCTCTCCGAGTGCTCCGGGTCTGATGGTTGGAGCACTCCTCCAGTTTCCAACCAAAATCTGATCCTGGCCAGGCTCTACACATTTTCCCTGGAAGGATGTTTTCCCTTCATTGCCATGTTCCCGGTCACTCCAAGACCACAGTCCTTGGTACTTGGGCCCAAGGTTTCCTGGTGCGACCGGGCCAAGCAGCTGTGGGTGCCCCAGGTGCTGCCCACGCCGCTCTGCAGCTGCCCTTGCCGGTGGCCCTGGCACCAGGGCAGGAACACAGCCGCCAGCCCCGCTTGCAGGGCAGGGACACAGCCCCCAGCCCCGCTTGCCACACATGTCAGCCCCGTGCTCTCCTTGAGGTCCAAAAGTGCAGCCCAGGACCGTGCGTGCGCTGTGTGGCCGGGAGAGGATGCGGGGGCAGCTGGACCAGAGCATCCTCTGCTGCCGGGGCCTGGGGAGGCCAAGGAGGGAGTGAAGGGAACTCCCAGCCCAATCTGCTGGAAATAGGGACTGCACCTGCATGGATTTGTCCTAGCTGTGGCCAGGGTAGGACC